GGTGCTCTGCACGTATGTGTCTAGTTTTTGATACACTTCGCAATAAAATTTATGATACAAACGCCAAAGTGGTAAGCGGTCATATGATTTTGTCGGAAACCTTGCCATTTCTTTCCGATCTGTGCGGCGTAACCTCACCAAGACCTGAGAAAGGGTGTATTCATTGAAAAAATTCGGTTAGTTCTGCAACGAAATTTGAGACCACCTAAGTTAGAACCTTACCGGACCCGTTGGTCAGTAAGGGAATGTCTAGACAGGTATTTTTATAGCTATCTTTCAAACGAAGCTGCTGAACAACTAGAGGATCGTTCTCGCACTCATAGTTCGCGTATAAAACCCGACTGCGCGTGCGACATTAATCAAGCTGTTCTCGCCCTTTTAAGTGTCTGTTATTAGCTGTCTGCTATTGACATCCTTGTAGAAGAAGCATCCCAACGTTTTAATTTTGGCTACGCAGTCCTTTGTAAATATTGCCCAAATGTTCATTCAAACCTTATACTGCGATTCTGAAAAAAGTGAAGCTTGCGTGAATTCAAAATGTCTCAATGAACCTGAGCAATTTCTTATTTGTTCTCCTAATCAACTGTCTTGAAACAAACTAATGATATTAGTGGGCCCCGATTGCAGTGCGCTTCAAATGTTAGCCACAAAATTGGGAAGGTAGCCGTCTGCTGACTGCCGTCCAATTTTATACTATTAAATCATTCCTTAAGCATGAGCTTTTCAGAGCAAAATTCGGTCGGCCACCCGACTGCTTGTGCTCATCGTCTGCTCGTATCTTCTCGCCAATGTTCTTAACGTTCTCATCACACTGTGGGAATATGTGGCCTTTCAATCTACCCAAACTCAGGAGGCCTATGTGGTAGGTCGCTTTTCCTTCCTCAACCCGATCGATGACCTCCGAAAAACTTGTTCCAGATTTACGAAGCTTGCACTGATGTAATTTCCGTACTGTACGTGCTGGTCTGTGCAACGCGATTATTTGTTTATATTTCTTGTAACAAAGTGAGTTTTTTTTACCAGACAAGTCGTTCCAGACAGTGGTGCCATATCC